GGGGGGGGGGGGGGACCCTCTTTGTTTTTCGGCAATATGTGGGCGGGTGGATATGGACTCTCATAGACTCATAGAGTAATTGATGGGACCTACGCCTTATCAAACAATTCTCCTTCCACTCACAATTACTCCGTAGTTTGGTGGTGGTAGTGACAAAGTGAGTGTGACAACAATGGTAAAAGTGTGGTGGTGGGGTGACAGTGTGACGACAGGATTAACAGTGTGGTAGCAATGGAGGTGGTGTGGTGAGAGTGTCACAAAAAGAGTGGTAGTGTGTGATAAGGATATACTAGTATATGGTATTACAATAAAATTTCACTCATGTCTTTCAAATTAGCTTACAAATTAACTTTGGACTTCTATTTTTGTGTCATTTTTTTAATCCTATTGAGGGTGTTTTCCCATCTCTAAAGGCTAAATCCCTTTAGAACCGGTCAAATAATCATCTAAAAGAAGTGAATTAAACTTTAATAATAAATTGACTAACAAATACTGAAACTTGCTTGTACTTGCAAAGATCCTTTCCTTAGCATTGTTGCCTTCCAGCGCAGTTATTAAGAATCGAATTCGGATGTTACCTTTGATACCCCACGCATAGCCAATTTAGCTAAGCCTCTTGACGGGGTCGATTAAGTAAATTTTATAAGAGGGCACTTAGGCTTTTAATTTGTCATTTGACCTATAAAAGACTTAAAAACAATCTCCAGTGTATATCGCGTTTTCTTTTAAAAATTTTCGGGTTTCATATTATTAGTAATATACTCTATGGGTGCTTCGGGTACTTCACGTTTTTTCACTAAGAACTTGCAGGCGGCCAAAATTAAATTATAATTGATTTTATTGTATTTTCATAAACAGTTCATTTTCTAAGTTTTCACTTGCTAAAACATATACTCCATCTGTCCCAAAAAGTTGTTACGTTTAGAAAAAACTCTGTCCCATAAAGTCCGTTACATTTCTATTAAAAAACCACTTTTACCCCTTACTTTTTCATACCCTACCTATCACATCATACCTTTATTCTAATAATCTACCCATGACATCCTACTTTTACCCATCACATCAAGGGTATTTTTGGAAAGTCAATACCAAAATATCCCTCCCTTAATTTCCCAAAAAGTCAAACCGTCCCATTCTTTTTGGGACGGAGGGAGTACTATATTATACATTAAATAGTCATTATTTTTATCATGATTTAATAAAATCTTTCACTTTTTAACCTTTCGTTTTTCTAAATTTAATAATCATTACCTTAGGTGATATGATAACTCATTATCTTAGTTATATTTTTATCACCATTACACATTTTCTAAATAAAAAATTATTTTACATCATTTCTTTCATACTTTATATTTTCAAAAATTAAAGTATTTATAAATTTTTATGTTTTAAAAACTATTTATAAATAAATAATTTATATATCTTTGAATATTAGAAATATGAAAATGTGTATAAAAAATTACAGATTTATATTTAAATGTTACAAAATATGTATATTAAAATTGAAAAATAAAGCGAATAAAGTATTTTAAAGTGAATTATATTTTAAACAAAGATGTAATAAAACATTTTAATTTTATAAAGTAAACGTATTAAATTTATAAATACTTTAATTTTTGTAACGATAGATTTTAATAGTATTTTTAAAGGAATAAATTGTTTTTTGTGATGAAAATAGAATTAAGGTAATATGTTTTTCATAAAAAACTATATTAATAATTATTTAACTTTCTTTGATAATTATTTAACTTAATAAGTTTGTATAGTTGAAATATATAACGATTATTCAATGTAGAATTTAATAGAATGAGACATGCGAGTTCTTTCTTGAAAAGATTAGATATCGCAGAGTAAATTTTGATTGGTCAAAATAACAGACTTTTAATTCTAACAACTAAATAAATGGAATCACCCTCAGAATACATTATTACAAATTTTAAGTACACTTTGAGTGTGAGTGTGTGTCATATATATATATATATATATATATATATATATATATATATATATATATATATATATATATATATATATATATATATATATATATATATATATATATATATATATATATATATATATATATATATATATATAATATCAGATAATATAGCACATGTGATTTCTTAGTAGCGATACCACGCAATATTTTTTATAAAAAAATATACAGGTATCATAATAGGCATGAAGCCCATCAACTTTAGCCTGGGTTGGAAAAATCACAAACCGAATCAAAAGAAGATAGAAAAATTGAAACGAAACAACTGAAACCAAATATAAAACAACGGAACTGAACAATTTTTTTGGTTTTCACTCTAGAAAATCAAATCAAACGGAATAAATCGAACATTCCTAAGTAGTTTGTGTAACTTATGGTTTGGATATATGTTTGAAGGTCAGAATTTCAACTTTTACAGCAATTATATATTCAATATATGGTCTACTCTGTAGTTGAACAATTTAAACTTTTACGGAGTACATACTAAAAACATTACAATATTTTGGTTACTTATCAAAAAATCGATGTTATCAATTTTGACTTAATGAAACAATGATTTCCATTTTTACAAGTATTTTAAATTTGTTATTTTATGAAACAATTTAAATTTTTGACTTTATGAAACAATGATTTCCAAATTAAATTGCATGCTTACCATGATCAAATTTCATCCACTTGTTTTCCCTATTTTTTTAGCTGGTTGATAAAATAATATTGATATGTCACCGCTAGTTTTGTAGTCTTTTGATGTAATTTTTAAATATGTAATTTTTATTTTTTAATTTTACACCTTTTTTATATAAAATGATTTAAAAATAATTTTAGTCAAATATCATAAATTGCAATAAACAATATAAATTGAGATGGAGGGAGTAGCATATACCCTTAAAGTAGAAATTGACTAAAAAACTAGATTTATTTTTTTTAATATTACCTCCGTCCAAGTTCATTCATCTAGGTTGATTAATAGAAGTAGACATTAGGACAGAAGAAAAAATAATTTATACTCCCTCCGCCCTAAATATTTGCTACACTTGTATTCCCGAGGTAAAATATCAAGTATTTTAAATTCATTTTATTTACATATTGGTATGGAAATAAAAAATAAAATTTATATATCAAAATACTACATGAAAAGTTCTTCGAAATAAGAGGTGTCAAGAATATTTTATTTTATCAAATAACCAATGAAAACGTAGAAATAAACAAAAGTTCCCGCAACTGCTGAAAAAGCAAATGTTGTGAATATTTTGGAACGGAGGGAGTATGTCAATTATAAATTATAAAATATAAAAACAATTCTATTACATGAACAAAATAGATGACAAATCATGCTTAATAAATCTTTCAATTGCACGGAGTATTTGGTAATGTGTTCGAGGCCAAATAGCTCTAGTCCCCTTGTGGTTTGAAAAATTGGTATTAATACCTTTTATGTGCATGCACACCTTTCTGATCATTTTCCGGTCATTTTCTGGCGGAGAGAAGACATTGATGCCTAATTTCTAAACTATAGAGAGCACTCGTGTTCATTTCTTATTGAGAGAGGAATGTTGATTTTGGATTCCACCAAGAAGAAGAACAATTGAGAAAGGAGTAATGATTCTGATTTTGAGTTCAAAGCTTCAAACTCAGCGACAAGTTTGGGAAAGGAGTGCGAGAGGAGAGAGAAAACATAGTTGAGGAGAGTGAAGAGCGTAAATTTATAATTTTATCCACGTTTTTAACAAAAATATTAACAAAGGGTCATTCGTGGAAAACAATATAATAATTGGCGACTAAATTATTGATATTTGTTATGTATGGACTAAATATGTAAAACGAACTATAACTGGGAACCTTTTATAGAATTTACTCTAGAAAATAAGAGAAAAAGTAAGAGGAAAGAAAATGTGATAAAGTAAAAAATACTGAGTACATTTGCATCCTTATTTAAATGGTCAAAAATGAAAAGGAATTGAGGGCAAATGTGTCATTTGATAAGTTCTCTTCCAAAAATATTTTGGAATGAAATCTATCTACTTTTCTTTGGTTCTTTTATTTTCTCTTTCAAGCAAACAAGAAAAAACTCCTTGAATGTTGTGTTTCCCCTCTTTTTGTTTTCTTTCTCCCCAATTTCTCTTCATCCAAACACTACATAAAAGACCCTTGATTAATTAAAGAAACAAAAAGGAGAAAAAGAGAAAAACAAAAAAATAAACGAAAAATAAGAAATAAGCACCAATGTCCTCTATAATTTGGAAAATAGGCTTCAATACTCTTTCTTTGCCGGAAAAATAACCAGAAAATGATTAAAGGGAACATCAGTGCAACATTTTGAAATTATTGTAAATTTAAAAATAAGTTTTGAAAACAAAGTAGTGCTTATTTTCCAAATTACTAATGCTATTTGTCCATGTGTGCTAATGATCAACGCCCACATCGTTAAACCTTCCCCTCCCATTCAAATCGAGAAGGTATATGATACATCCGGATATACCTAGAAATAGGTAAATTCTGGTAGTACTCAATCTGAATTAAGTAGTACTTATTTTTGTATAAATATAAATATTTATTTTGAAATACGTAATACTCATTCTGAAATCAGGTAGTACTCATTTTAAAATATAACAGTACTCATTTTTAGACATTTGTCTAATACAATTATAATATATAATGTAATGTTTATTCTTAAAATAAGCAATACTCATTCTCAAATAAAAAATGCTCATTCTCAAATGAAATATTGTTCAATTCTTTCACAATTAAAAAATTGGGTACCATCAAGTCCATCATCATCCTTACCCTTCTTCACTCCCCGTTTAGTTGGATCTTCCTCTATTATCCCCATCCCTTACAATCTCTTCAACTTCTCCGCTCAGATCTCCATCAATCCCACCTAGGGTTTCCAGCTTCCCGTAACGCCGCCACCATCGCCTACCTTTGTCCTCGCCACCTTGTGATCTTCGCGCCTCCCTTTGTCGTCGCCTCTCCTTCGCCGGGTTTCTTCGATCGTCACCCTGCTCTCCTCCTTCGTAAACTTTTTGGATCCTGCATCTCCAGTTTCTTTTTACCGTCTGTACAGCCGGATGCGCATTCAAATCAAATTTGAAGCGCCACTTTTAATGTTTTCCCTAAAACGAATTGGAGAAGAAAATTGGAGAAAAAAAGGTTCACAGAGGGAGAGCCGCTCGGGATCTCCTAATAAATCTAGCGAGCATCTCTTCTGAAATACTGTGAGCGTAACACAATTAATTGGCTACAGATGCGAAGAAAAAGCGGAGATGAAGGAAGACACGCTGAATTGACCACTTCAAATTGCAATTTACATACATACATACATACATACATATATATATATATATATATATATATATATATAGAGGGTGAGATAAAAAAGAAAGGGGGGAATCAATTGGATTCAAATCAATTATTAGGTCCCCAACAGCTCAAATACATGACGGTTCTCAGAGACTCCTCCGAGCGCTTCAATTGCTCATCTCGCAGCTTGGCGGAGACGACGGAGGAAGAAGGCAGCCTGGTGGCGTGCTGGGAGTAGGACCGGAGGTTGGATTTGGCATGCTGGTGGAGCAGTCTGAAAGCGTAGTTCCATCTGGCGAAGCCTTGGTCCTTCAGGGCCTCCACCGTCCCCACGCTCGCCGCCACGATCCACCTTCTGCTGCTGCTTCCGAAGCTCATTCTTCTTCCTTTCTTCTAACTTTATATTGAATTGCCGGCTGTGATTGTACTGGATGCGATCTGGGTGATATGGATGATTTTAGAGGTTTGCGATTTTGTTTTGATGATTTGTAGAGCCAAAGGGAAGCTCTTATAAATACTCCATAGGATTGGAAGAAGCAAAAACAGAGGGTGCCAAGTAATCAGTGTGCACAAAGCAAAACAGGTGGGTGGTTTCGCCAATGGATTTGGGAGCGGCGCTCTTTTTTTCTGCAATATGTGGGCGGGTGGATAATACCAAGCCAATAATGCACTCAGGAGTCACGAGTAATTGAATGGACCCACACGAAGTATGCGTTTGTACCGAAGGATTTCTATCCTATTTTGTAGATTGCAGAAATGTACAACACTTTGTGTCAGTGTAAATTTTTGTTAATGCACTATCACTCTGTATCAGTGTGAACCATCAAAATATTGGTAGATACTTTTAGTATAGAAATAGGGCATAAATTTTGGAGTACATGTAGCATAGATCTACGCAATAAAGCCTAGCCAATAATGCAACAAAAACTGGTTCCGTTATCCTTGCAAGAACCCGACCCTTTAACTTCAAAATAAATAAAAATGATTTAAATATAGATATAAAAATAGTTTCATTAGGCTTATTATATACAATATTTTTAAAATATTATTTCATCTAATTAATATACAATATATTCCCTCTGTCTATAAATGTTAGAAGGAAGCCTATAGGGAAGAAAGTGGAAGAAAACTAGAAAAAACTAGAAATAATTAGAAAATTAGGAGCTAGAAGAAATGAGAAGAAAAAATAGAAAACACTAGAAAAATGAAACAAACTAGAATAAATTGGAAAAAAAATTCAAAACCTTATTTAAGTATATTTTACATAGTATTCTTAATATGATTGTTATTGTTGTTGTTATTATTATTTTTTATTAATGTTGTTGTTATTATTATTTATAACAGGTAAAGAAAATTCGATCACTGCACGTGAATCATATGCATGTCATTTAGTTAGGGACAGAGAAGTGGTATACTTATTATTTTTTTATTTAAAATATTGATGTTTTTCTAGGGCAATTTAGATAATAAAATATCCACAACTTTTTAAACATAATTTAGTCTCATGTAAAAAAAATTTAATTTTTTTTTCCGAATAAAGTTGTACTTCATATTATTTATATTAAAAATGAAAGAAAAATAATAATGACTGTGAATCACAAAATAGTAACATGGGAAAAAATAAAAAAATAAAAAAAATTTATAAACTATATAGTTATAATAATAATAGTAATAGTAATAATAATATATGAAAAACATATTATTTTTATATTCTTTATTTGGGAGTAAAAAAAAGATTGAAGAAATGAGAATAGTTGGAAAAACTAGAAGAAATTGAAAAAATTGAAAAAAGCTAGAAGACACTCGATACAGTTGGATGAAACTAGAAGGAACAAAAAACAATGGGTAAAAACTAGAAGAAACTAGAAAGAATTTAAAGAAACGAGAAGTTAAAAGTATAAGCACTAAAGAAAAGACTTTTAGTCATATTTTTTCTTTTCAAAAAATCAATTATACTGCAAGGCAAGAGTATCTAGTTTTTCAAACAAATGTTGGGGGGGGGGGGGGGGT